TTTTTTTACGTAATATCTGGGCTCGTAATACGGTATTGGTGTGTGCGCGCTGGACTCAGTCATTCCTCTGTTGCCATCAGCTTAATTATTAATTACATTAATAATCTCTATGTCCCCCTCCACCCATTTCTCTCATTCCCTGCTCGAACGTGTCGCGTGGATCGGCGATTCACGCGCGTTCGGCCAGCAATCTGCGCGTTGTAATGCAGTGGCTCTGCGTATGTGTGTATGTACACGTGTGTGTTTGTGCGTTTTGTGTGCGCGTATACGCCGCCGTAATTGCGGCGGTCTGCTTGCCGTATCATCCTCTAACGCACGTGTTAAGCATGTCGGACTAACGAGGGAACACAGGTAACCCGGATAATTCAGCCGCCATCTGAAACTTCACTGATTCGCAGACTGGAGTAATTCGAAACGTACAATAACGTTGTAATTAATTTCTTTTCTTTTCTTTTTTTTTTTTTTCTATGCACTGATTGGAAGTTTTACGAGACTTTCGATTATTGGAAATTTTGAGAAATTTAGTTTCGAATCTTTTGTGAGTTTATAGTGATCCGATATTTCATTCGTATAGTTTTTTTTTTATTTTTTTTTTATTTCGATACATAGTTTGATAGAAAAATAGCAAAGTGGAAAATTTAATTCGATATCGTGATCATGTTGCCACGATCGTAAGCTTTTTATTTTATTTCGCATTAAATATTAGTATTGTTGATTGTAAAAGTGATTATAAAAATTTGTCAATCTAAGGGAAACATGTGAAAATGATCGGCAGCTCGTCTGCAAAGTAACGATATTTTAATAACTGTGTTCCTTTGTACGCTACACGTTATTTGAGAACAGCTTTGCGAAGATTAACGCGATATTAAAATTCATTTCTATAATTCTAGCAGAGGCTGGCCGTTGCAGCACGAGGCTCGTAAATTACGAACGAGAGTCGCGTGGGAAAGTGAAAACTTTTGAGAAATTTACAGACAATTTACTGCTGTAATTTACGTTGCGTCTTTATTAAATCCGTTCTATAATTTCATACTTTCTTTCGTAATAATACCGCGTCCTTATTAGGGAAAAATATTCTCAGTTTACAAAAATGGTAGTTGTACTTCTCTGTTTTATATAATTCAATTTTATATTTTATACATTCAATTTTGAAAATTACTTTTCCACCTTGAATCTTAAGTGATTTCGTATATCATTTTTTGTATCGATCTATCAAATTCTTCAGAAAAGAAAGTATAGTATGTTATATCGTACTTATTTTTGAGAGATGATAAATTTTAACTTTGGAGTTTCAAGAATTAAAAATTTTAATTTTCGAATCTTTAAAATTAAAAATTAAGAAAAAAAAATCGAAAAGTTAGAGAAATACTAGTTCTACGAGCTTCAGTTCGTTTCTTCTTTTACAAAACACTACACAATACATCCAGATTCTTAAAAAATTTTACACCCACCAAGTTCAACATTATATCACGTTTGACGTTAAAAATTCGCAAAAATTTTTGTTTCTCCTCGAAGAAAGTACGAAATCTTCAAAAATTTTTCAATCTCAGAACAACACTGATTGAACTCTTTGTCTCTTTCTTATTAAACGCAATCAGATCACTATCAGATCACGCCCAAATCAGAACACAGCTCGTAGCTCAGACTTGAAACAACCTACGATCGATCATTCGCGGAGGAGAGGTCGATCGGTAACCAAGACTCGGTACAGTCGATTCGAACAATAAGTAACAGAAGCATCGTGGAATGAAGGAACTCGGCGACTCTGGCAATCAGTGATACAGTGATACAGTAATATCCTACGAATACCGGCGTCGGGGAATTAATGGCTAGTAAACAGAGCTAACTACCTTAGGGCCCGGTCGGCGTTCGTATTATTTTATAGTTGGTATCCGCTGGGTTTTACGATCGTCAGCGCGCCGGCCTGTCGGTCGTCGATTGTAGTTTCTCCGTGGCAAGGTAGCTGTAGAACAGCCCGAGACAAGGGAATAAGCCGTTGATCGCCGTGCAAATAACCAACGTGTCCTCGCAGTTAGTGATGGGCTCGAGTACGTTGCAAGTAGATACGAACATTGACAAATTAAGTTCGAGAGAAATTAGTCGTGCCTTCGAATAGATTTTCGAACTCGGGTGCGACAGATTCGCAACCATCTAAGAATATATTCTGTGTGAAACAGATACTTTTATATATCATAGAATCGAACACTGATTCGAACAGGTTCGAAACTTTGCGAGCATCTCATTCGAAACTGTTCCATCCTGAGAATGGAATATTTCCTTAAAGTCACTTGCAATAATATTTATAATGACGAATAAATTGGTATTGGTTGTAATAATGTTTAATATGTAATAATTATATTTAATATATAATAATATTTATAATGACGAATAATTTGGTATTAGCTGTACTTTACTTTACCTTATAATATTTATAATGACGAATAAACTGGTATTAGTTGTACGTTTATCGAGAACTGCAATATTTACGCCAGGGGAAGGAATATTTCCTAAAGCCGGGAATATTACAAATGAAAAGGGGACAAGTAGTGCGAACCAAGTAGTTGTATAATTTGAACAACTGCGGGGATTTTCATTGTTTATTAACTCGGAACATGCGATCCTCTTCGTTATTACTAGGATCGTCAAGGTTGAGTGTCAACATCGCAAACAAGTGGTCAACGAACCTGTCACCCATTCGCTTTTTGCTCGTGAGTCTCCTCGTGATACGCAACGAACGTCTGGCAGAGAAAAGGGGACAAAAAATGTAGAGAAAAAAAAAAAAAAAAAAAAAGAATAAAAAGAAAAATAGACAGACCTCTTTCGTTTGTAGAAAATTACGCCGATGAAACCGAGATGATCGAGATA